ACCTTGTTGTCTCGGATTCTCCAGCATCTGCAGTTCCTACTATCTCTGATTCGATTTAGGAATTTACTTGGGTTTCTGTAAACAGGCAGTTCTAAACATTTTAATACGGGGCATTTTTGAAAGGTCTAGTTAAGCCAAGATTTCAAGTTTGTTATTTAGTAAAATGTAGAAGGAAAAGTCTGATCCTACAGTGTTCTGAACTTTTTAGATAATTCTAATTTAGAAATGCAGACAACAAACTAGTGTGAAAGGGTTAGTTGAATTCCTTCAGCAAATGTTTGTAAATAGTAAAAGAAGCTCATGACTACATTAGGGAAGATAAAGCAATAAAATGTGTAAACACAACCTCTAAAAGACCACCAGAACAGGAAGGGGGGCAAAGGAGTTCAGGACTGGGGAGATATAAAGTTTAAGTGCAGATGTGGATAATTTGAACAAATTCTTACATCCAATGTTCAAGGGAAGAGTGACAGAGCCAGGTTACAACATACAAAGTGAAGATGTGGTAATGTCCCGAGTTATTTGTGGAATCTAAACAAGTTTCATTTAATAGCTCAGTTAAGTTGTAAAGTGACTGAATTTCACCCTCATCAGCAGAATTTGAATAGATGTTTTCTATTAAGAAAAGAAAATTAGTAATGGAAAGTGTTGAGAGTAGAAATAGTAAAAGATTCATTCAGGAACTAAACTCTGGTTTAAAACTCACTTACAAAATGAGAATAGCATTGCACCTGCAAGTCAGAAGGATTGTTTGTTGGATCTCTCAGGCTGAAGTGACATAGGTGTTGTTTCCTGCTGTCAGCTTTTGTCAGCTGTCTCACAGAATGGTCATCAATTTACATTAGAGTTGATTTTAAAGACTTTACAACAATTGCTAGAAATTAATAGCCTTCCTAACCTTCTGTGCTAAAGTTAGTAGAGAATTTGGAAGAGTTCTTAGTGATAAGCAAATATTTAGGTTATTGGCGGTGCAGCTGGCAATTATTTGGGAAGGAGCCTAACTGTCAGAAGTATTGTAAGATATCCCAAAGACAGATGATGGAGGTATCTGGTAGACATCACGAGATTATGGGAGGACCTAGGGCTATCCATAAACTTGTGCATCATTGTTTATGTGTTTGCTGGATTAGATGTGTATGCAATTCAATGTTGCATGTAATTACTGTAACATGAAAGGTATAAAAATGTTTTATTCAGCTTGGGAAAATTAGTGTCACTGACCTCTCCTCTGATCTGAGCTGTATTTAAGAGGGCAACTGGGCCCCATGTGAAAGCCAGGTTCGAAGCTGTCTCTAGCTTATCCCATGTGTTGTAAGAAAACTCTGAATAAAGGTCATTTGTACTGCTGAACACAGAACTCAAGCCTCCTCTTTGATATTTCTCTCTACAATAATGGTTATGATTGTCACAGCTCCAGGACATCTCTCCAGGGGCTCCTCAGGGTAGTGTCCTGGGCCCAAACATCTTCAGCTGCTTCATCAATGACTTTCCCTCCATCATAAGGTCAGAAGTGGGAATGTTCACTGATGATTGCACACTGTTCAACACCAGTTATGACTCCTCAGGTACTGAAGCAGTCCATGTCTAATGAAGCAAGAACTTCACAATATCCAGGCTTGGACTATCAAGTGGCAAGTAACATTCATGCTGCACAAACGCCAGGCAATGACTACCTCCAATTAGAGAACATCCCCCCTTGACATTCAATGACATTACCATCAAGGAATTTCCCATTATCAACATTTTGGGGGTTACCATTGATCAGAAACTGAACTGGATGAGCCAGATAAATACAGTGGCGACAGAGAAGGTTGCAGGCTTAGAATCCTATAGCATCTTCTGAATCCCCTAAGCTTGTCAACCATCAACAAGTCACAGGTCAGAAATGAGACTGAAAACTCCCCATTTGCCTGGTTGAGTGCAGCTCCAAACACTCTCAACATTTGACACCATTCATGAAAAAGCAGTCCATTCCCACCACCACCGACGTTGAGTATCAGCAGTGTGTACCATCTACAAGATGCACTGCAGAAATTCATCAAATCTCCATAGATAGCTCCTTCCAAAACCACACCACTTTCATCTAGAAGGAAAGGGCAGCAGATACTACCTGCAAGTTCCCCTCCAAGCCACTCATCATTCAGGCTTGAAAATATATCATCAATCCTTCAGTGTCATTGGGTCAAAAGCCTGGGACACTCTCGCCACTAGCAGCTTGTTGGTCTACCTACAGCACCTTCTCAAGGAGAATTAGGAATGGGAAATAAATGCTGGCCTCGCCAGTGACACCCACATCTCATTAATGGATTCAAAAAATAAACGGAACTGGAACTACACCAGACAGGATGCCACATCAAAGATTGCCAGAATAGGGAGATATAACCTGTATTCTAGATTATAACTTTCTTAACAACAGAAATTTGAAAGTCGTGTGGGTGGGGTGGAATGTGAAGGTGGGGCCAATGACTTTCTAAAGCAGAAGTGGACAGATTCTTGTTAGGCATGGGAATCAAGGGTTATCAGGGATAGTCAAGATTAAGTAGGCAATCTTCCCTTTTTTTAACATCATAAAGTGATCATTTGAAATTTGCAATTTGTGAATTGCAAGATTTAAATATTTCATTTGCCTCTGTACAAGCAAGGTGACTCAGTTAATGCACAGATCTTAGAAATTGCTGACACATGAAAAGGACACAATCTTTAAATTGACAATGCGACATTGAAACCAGCTCATATTCTTGTTTTTTGTAAAAGAAAATATTTCTGATTAAAAAATACCAACCCAGTTTGTTCTCTGGCACTGTATTCCTCTTCATATTGTTTTCTGTCATCTCTTTTCCAGTCTGCACCTCTACCATCATCCATGTATCGTAGCTGATCATCTCTTCTTACATTTGAATATCTATCTGAACTCCTGATATCATTTTCATGTTCCTTGTGACGGACTTTTCTCCAATCAGCTGATTCGTGTAAACGATCTCCATATGGGCCCCCTCGGTGATCAGAATATTCATCATAACCAATACTAGCCTCTACATATTGTTCTTTGCTATCTCTTTTTAAATCAGTATATCCACTTGAAATATTTTCTCGGTATTGCGATTTGTTATCTTTCCTGTGGTCTGCATATCGATCCATAACTCCAATGTTCTCTTCATAAAAGTCTTTATCATCTCTTCTCCAGTCAGAATACATATCAGAAGATCGAACTTCAGTTCTATATTGTCCTTCATCATGTCTTGGAACTGAATACATCATCTTGCTTGTCAGTGATTGATCTCTTGTGTACATTATGTCTTCCACCAAATCTTGCTCCATTCGTGAGGGATTTCTTTCCCATCCTGACCAGAAAGGAAAAACAAATAGCTTAACTAAATATGAACAGAAGAATTGAAAATTTTGTTTCAGTAGTCATCTCATAGTACAGAACTTAAGTACTCTTGAAAAATGATATTTTTGGCTTGCACACAGGGCAATTCACAAGAAATAACCAAGTACAGTCAGCATAGTTATATCATTTGTAAGGAGAGTGCTGACTAGTAGGCAGCCGACTCTGATTGGTAGGGGTGTTGCCGTGGAGAATGCAACAATTAATGATGACTGACAGTCAGGTATGTTCTGTGAATTGTCCTAACGAATATAAACAGAAAGGTTTGACCAAACTATGTCATTTCTTGGTAATATTCAACTCTGCGTAATATAATTAAGTACAGTGGACAGCAACTGTTGTGTCACTCAAGGAATTCAGAAAGAATATTTCAAAGTTTTATGTTCAGACCTTACGCATTAGAAATTGCTTTTTGTTGTTAAACAAGAAGCATATTCAGGAAAATGGCATCTTAATATAACTCTAATATAGTTTCTTTTCAGATGTAATATGATTTCATTGTTTTCTGTGCATACATTAAATTTCCAGTTTCTTTCTTTTAACTTCAGATTCCTTTTTATGGAGTAGTAGGAACAGGAGTAGTAGGCAAACTGACATTGTGATTAATTTTAGTTTTAATCCCATAGAGTCAACGAGTTGTACAGCACAGAAACAAATACGTCGGTCCAATTTGTCCATGCAGACCAGATATCCTAAATTAATCTAGTCCCCTTTGCCAGCATCTGGTCCATATCCCTCTAAACTCTTCTTATTCATGTACCCATCCAGATGTCTTTTAAACGTTGCAATTCTACCATCTTCCACCAATTCCTCTGGCAGTTTATTCCATACATGCACTACCTTCTGCATGAAAAAGTTGCTCCTTAGATCCCTTTTGAACCTTTCTTCTCTCACCGAAATATATTTATTGATCAGTCTAATATACTACTATGCTTAATTATACCCACTGCAGAGGTTAGTACAGTAATATATTGTAACTCTGGTTACTTTTATTTGGCAAAATATTGTTACATGGCATTGCAAACATTAACCTAATGGTTGCAGTCGTAGCTCTAAGACTGAGAGAGATCTGTTTACTTTCTGATCCAGACTTCCAAGGCTGAACAAGTTAGAAATAGTATACTCCAAAATTGTTAGCTTTTGTCAAGGGATAGTGACTACAGCTGTGATCTTGTACTAGTGTTTTAATTTATGTAGATGCAACGAATATTCAAGTTAACTTTATAACAACGTGTTTAAGCTTGCAATTGCATAATCTTTAGACTTTAATATCTTCTGTATTATTTGCCTTTAAGGTATTAAGGATAACAAACAACAATAAGTGGTTAGCAATAATTAAGTGTCTGATTGAATGGAATTTCAAGTAAGCAAGGATATCAATCTTTGGGTATTGACTGCATATGGCTCCTTTTTTCTCTTTAACAGAAAAAGAACACTTCAAACTGCTCTCTTAGTAAAATGGCAGCAACAAGTGATGAGGACGGCTCCGTGGATAACTGACAAGTTAAGGAACAAGCCAGGAGATAGTGGGAGGTGACACTAGTCAATGTCCATCACCCTTAACAGCCATTTGGAGAGATTGATCATATATCCCTTTACCCAATTAGCAATAAGCCTTGCCTAACCTGGGCCAGAGGTAATTAATCCCACCATGGGTTATGGCTTGCAAAGCAACAATTTTCAGGGATTAATGTGCGTGTGAGAAAGTTTGAAGTTATCCTACTTCCAATCAGGCCCTTGAGGCATTAGAGAGATTGAGAAATCGAGTATCAACTCGCACCGTAAACTGAACCAGAAATTAAGAGGCATAACACACCTGTAAAGTTGCTACCCTTCTTTAACAGATATTGTCGATAACTTAAGTAGAATTTCCTGAGTTACTACAGAGATTGTCACTTGTTGCCTTATTATTTAAAGTCTCAACTGATCAAAGTTTTATTTTTTTCATTCATGGGATGAGGGTGTCACTGGCTAGGCCAGCATTTATTGCTTATCTGTAATTACCCAGTGGGCAGTTAAAAGTCAACCAGTATGCTGTGGGTCTGGAGTCGCATGTAGACCAGACCAGGTAAGGATGGCAGTACCCTTCCCTCAAGAACATTAATGAACCAGATGGGTTTATCTGACAATTGGCAATGGTTTCATGGTCATCATTAGACTTTGAATTCCAGATTTTTATTGAATTCCAGATTTTTATTGAATTCAAATTCCACCATCTGCTGTGGTAGAATTCAAACCCAGGTCCTCAGACCATGACCTTGGTCTCTGGATTAACGTTCCAGCAACAATAACACAAGGGCATTGTTTCCTCTGAGAAATGTTGGATATTGAATATAAGACTTCTAAAAATTAATGACTCTGAGGGTATTTGCTTATGGATACCCAGGTTTATGCTGAATTGATTCAGCTGATGTATTCGTAGCACCTATACAAAGACTATGTTAAATGAGTCTCAACTTCAAACTAAGTAAAGAATGAGAAAATAAATATCACCTTGAGTTCCTAATCTTCATTATCATGCATACATTCCTCTTTTCCAGAGGAATATGGTGGTGGGTAAACTAAGATAAAATAGGAGCTGATCAGTGCAGTATCAACATCTGCACAGACCTGTTTGCTTATCTGACACCCAGTCTTGGATGAGCCATCATATCCTGATGTTATATCTTGAAGAAAAGAAAATAATCTTTGCCTCAACTTCCCCAAACCCTCATTTTCATTTGTGTACCACCAGTTCAATCCCCTTTAGCTTCAATCTGAAACCATGAAAGCAGAGTGTTTACTTAAAATATACCTTTGGATCCATATTCCTGGTACGAATGCTGTGCATAGCTTTGCGAATTCATTCCCTCTTGAAGGCTTCCACCTTGATTCATTCTAGAATCTGAGGAGTTAATTTGTGAATACATAGACTGTTGAGGATTTGTACTATGGCCAGCTGGAAGAAAAATCTTAAGGATACTTATTCTTCCTTTTACAGAAGGAAGAGCAAAACAAATTGGTTAATGTTACAAAAACATTACACGCTATGGACAAATTTGTTCGGCTGCAGTATATAGCCACAAGTTAAACAACGGTAAGGTAAAACTGATGTACGAGTAAGGTAACACAACTTATGTTCGGATAATTTAAAACAATTAAGTAGTATGTGAGGAGGCTGGAACAAAACAAAATTCTGATGCTGGGGAAATCTTAACTCATATTACATAATAGACCCACAAATTTAAAAATAAAGCCTGCAAACAACTGAACTGAAGATCAACTAGTTTGCATGAGTAAACTAAGACAAAACTGTGAAATCGGTTCCTACATAAATATGAAAACATGTTCAAATCAAAGATATTACATTTGATCTGTTATTCTCAGTTATTTTTTATTGGAAGAAATAATTAAAGAATGAATTAAAAGCTAAAGTGGAATATTTTTCAGCTTACTTGAATATATGTCATTTCCAAAGCACATTTGAATGCTGTTTAAACTGGGCATGAAATAGTTAAGTTTCTGAAACTATTTTTAATACAGTTAAGGCGACAAATTAATCACTTCATTGCAAGAGAACGGAATTGAATGAGCAGCAGAATCCTAGAAGTAACTATTTGTTACGAATGCAAGATGTTGTTTACCATAAAAGAAAAAGCACACAATCTCTCCACTGTAAAATTCAGAATCAATTCAAGGGCAAATGGTTTTAGTTCATTAAAGCAGCTATTCAAATTCTAAGGGATACCTACTTGAGCACGCCAACAGAATTCATCAAATTACCAGTGAAGATATACTTTAAATGATTTCCTATCTGTTCAATTTGAATTTGAAATATAACAGAAATAATAATGATAATGCATACATACCGTTGCTTGGGAGTGGAACCCTTTTAAGTACGCCAATCGTACTAGGTGGATCCTGTCCTCTGATAACCTATAATTCACAATGTCCATAAATGTCACAAAAAAATAACCTATTTCATATTTTCTTTTCATTATGTATCGTTTACATGTGCTGCAACTAAGAAACCTAGCTGGAGAAATTTGTTTTGCAAGTGTTATTGGAAAAAGCTATTATTGTTCATATTGTAGCAGCACTCAGTTTCTAACTTCCTAAAAATCAAACTTTGCTACATACCAAAAAGATTGAAATGTGTATTTCAAAACTGCTTCAAAATTGTCTGTTTAAGAAAAAAAGACTGATCATTTAGTTTCTCATTGCTAATTAAAAATACTCCTATTGCTCTGTAAATAACTAACGCAAAATAATAAAAGATAATGGATAAGAATGCTTATTATGCACAATAATTCTGTGGTGTTACCTTGTCCGCTAAAACAAATCCTCTATTATCTAGCAACTGTGCGTTTTAAAAATGTAGTAATGGGATCGCTTTGACAAACAGCGGACATGAAGCAAGCTAATCATTTAAATAATACGTCCATCAAACCAGGGGGGCAGTTAGTTCAACTGATTGGATGGCTGGTTTGCAATGCAGAGTGATGCCAACAGTGTGGGTTCAATTTCCATACCAGCTGAGGATAGAATGAAGGATTCTCCTTCTCAACCACTTTCTCGTGTGAGGTGTGGTGACCTTCAGGTTGAACCACCACCAAATTCTAAGGAGAGAGCAGCCCTATGGTCTGGTGAGACAATAGAAACTTTTTATCATTTCAGTCTGCGAGGTCATAGATTGTTGAGGCAAGTATGTTGGGGAAAAAAAAAACACCCCTCAGAAAATCAAGTGAAACAACTTAGTAGTATATGTGGAGGCTGGAACAAAACAAAATTCAGATGCTGGGGAAAATTTAATTCATATTACATAACAGACCCACAAACTGAAAAATAAAGCCTGCAAACAACTGAATTTCAATTTTAGGTCTCCGAATAAAGGCTTACAGGAAACCAGTCTTTTATACTGTCACTCAATTCACTCACCAACTACACAAGTTTAAAAATTATTCCATTGCCATCACAATACATCTTACAATATTTAGGTGGTGGCTTAAAATTGGAAGTAAATTTGATTTACTGTGTCAAAGAGACAATCCCCTAAACTACAAGGCCACAGACAACAGACAGCGAAGGAAAAGCATGAATACGTAACTCAATTAAAAGGTACTTTTGGAAGAGATGGCAAAGTTACAAAACATCTTTTCACAGTCAGTTGTTAAATGCACAAAAATTAAAAAAATTAATGTTAGCATATCTAAAAAGGAACTACTCTGAACCAACATTCCCTCTAAGCTGCGTGACTGGTTGAAGGTCCTGCACATGCTGACTTTTGCATCCCCAACAACCTCAAAAGTCCACACAGCATAAAAACAGGGAAAACTTAGTTCTGACCTACTATCAATCTGGTGCATACTAAATTAATCAAACTGTGGTGATTTATTTGCAACAATTTTCTGACTAGACTCAGAATTCTACTGGTACTAGAGAGGGAATAAAAATTTAGACTTGTTTAGTGTGGGAGCACAATTTAATTTATGAAACAGATCTTTAACCAATAGATCATGACCAATGGAAACAAAAACTGCAGCATTTAGGAGATTTATTTTTTGCTCTTTCACGGGATACAGGTATCACTAGCAAGGACAGCTTTTGTTTCCAATCCCTAACTGCCCTTAAAATAAGTGGCTTGCTCATTAAGATAGTAGTTAAGAATCGACCCTACTGCTGCAGATGTACAGCCCAGTGGCCCAGACATGATAAGGATGGCAGAGTTCCTATCCTCAAAGACATTACAGAACTTGATGAGTTTTAATGTTCAATATTACCAAGATTAACTTTGCTTTCCAGATTTTTATTCAGTTAATTTAAATTCCATCAGCTACTGTATGTGGCATTGGAATCTTTTTTTCCAGCCCATTAGCCTGGGCAAATGGACTACCAGCCAGTGATATCATCATTAAACCCACTGGAGCACAATTGACAGATTGAATAAAGGTCCATTAATTTAGTCATGCCTTGTCACTTTTCAGTAAAAATTTCTTTCAAAAAACAAAATAGAAACACACTGCAGGCACTAAGTTAAGAAAAAATATCATTAAATGCTATTATTAGGCCTCTACCATTCAAATGTTCTGTCATAACTTACCTTAATGCTCCTTCTCCCTTCCAATTTCTCAATAATAGCAGCTCTTTCTTTAACAATAAGACACAACTCCTCTTGCTTTAATTTAGTTGCATCCCACTTCACCATCTCTGGATATTCTCTTGACTAAGGAAAAGAAAATGACAGTTGAAGTGAGTTGTCTAATTCTGATAAAATTCCCTTAGCACAGTATGCAATTGAAATGCCAATGGAATTCACACCATCAAATAGTACAACAAACATATAATCCACACAATTAGTTTGGTGAAGATCCAACAAAAAGTAGTTTCATTGTAGGAAAGAAATAGAGAAAAAAACTTGATTCTAACAGAGTTTTTCATTCCCGAGTGCTCCAAATAACTAAATTTTGCATTATGTTACCGGTTATGTAGTAGGCAGAGAAGACACAGCAAGCTTGGAAGAGCAAACCATCAATCTGTTGTGGTACACAACTTAATCAGTCGATGAACTTCTTTCAGAAAAATCATCTGTTCTAAACTGGATACACAGGACATCTCCTTAATGCCTCATTTGAAAAACCCACTCTGACAATGCAGCATAGATTTTTTTCTTTATTTGCATTCATGGGCTGAAAAAGTCACTCACTTGGCCAGCATTTGTTCCTTAGCCCTAACCTCCTTAAAACATGGGTGAGCTGCCATCTTATGTTGTTGCATTTCATGTGGCATAGGTACGCCTATTGTGCGATCAGGGAGGGAGTTCAGAATTTTGATGAGCAGTGAAGAAAAAGCGATATAGTTCAAAATCGGGATAGTATGTTTTTTGAAGGGAAACCTGCAGATGTTTGAGCTCCCATGCATCTGCTGCCCTTGTTCATCCATGTGAAGAGGTCATGGGTTTGGAAGATGCTGTTGAAGGAGCCATCTCAAATTATTGCAATGTTTTATATAGATGGTACAGACTGCGCATGAATGGTAGAAAGGTGAAAAAAATAAGGTGGACAGGTGAGGTGGGTTACTTTGTATTGACTGGTATCAAGTATTGTTGCAGCTGCACTGATGTAAGCAAGTGGAAAGTAAACTATCATAAGCCTGACCTGTGCTTTATAGATGGTGGAGAAGCTTCGGCAAGTCAGGCGGCGAGTTAATCATCAAAGAATTCCCCGGCCTCTGACCTGCTCTTGCAGCCACATTATTTATGTAGCTTTCTGGTTAATGGCAAGCCCCAGGATGTTGACGGTGCAGATTCAGTGATGGTAACGCCATTGAATATCATAGAGAGATGCTTCATTCTCTCTTGTTGGAGATGGTCACTGCCTGTCATTTGTATGGCATATACATTACTTGCCAATCAACAGCCTAATCCTGAATACTGCTCGCGTGTTGGTGTAATAAAGCACAAACTGCTTTTGTATGTGAGAAACTGCAAATGGGACTGAACCCAGCACAACCAGTGAAAATACCCACTTCTAACCTTACAATATATGCAAGGTCATTGATTAAGCAACTGAAGATGGTTAGGCCTAGTATACTATCCTGAGAAACCTCTGCTGCCATGTCCTGGAGTTGAGATGACTGGCCACCAAAAACCACTATTTTCCAATGTGCTTGATGTGACCTCCCTGATTTCGATTGACTCCATTTTTGTTGGGCTGCACACTTAATCTGGACTGGGATCATGTGCTCAAGCCCTGGAATGAAACCTGAATCCACAACCTTCAATGGAAGTTTTGAGTCTACCACTAAGCCAAGTTGCCACCAGCGTCATATTCCCATAACTGGACAGCAGAATTGAAATTAATTTGGAATTAAAGCACAAATCATCCACAGAGGTGCACTTCAGAAGTAACTGAATGATTATCAATGGCCTTCTTTCCTCAATTGAGAAATAGAATTTAATGTCCGACTGTAAGCCACTGCCAAGTTGTCCCTATGTAATCAGCCAAGATGCAAAATTTGGTTCCAATTTCCAATTTTTTATCCCTCTTGTAGCCAATTAATTTCAGGATAGTTGAAATCCCCAAGAATCACTGTTGTTTTTAAATGCACTTTTGCAATTCAATAATTCATATTTCTTGCTCCACCATCCTTCTAACATGAGATGATGTGAACAACTCTCATTAGAGTGACCCGTTTTTATCTTTAGTCCCAACCCATATGGATTCTATTTTTAATCTTTCTAATGGTTACATCAATATTTTCTCCAAAGTCAGTTACCTTCAGTTAGTAAAGCACCTTTTGTCCCCCGATCTGCTTTAAAAATATGAATTTTTTTCTGTACACGTGGCTCAACATAACCACCTTATTTGATTCCTAACAAGGTAACACTGCCTCTTGTTCCCTTGTTTTATTTGGTATTGTTTGCAATCATATATCAATGGTTTAACCAATTTTTAACTGTTTCTTGTAATTTATTTTTAATAATCTTTGTCCACATCTGCTCCACAACTAGTTATTCCCTGATCATTTATATTCCCTTTTCAAATAAATTTACCCCTTACCCTCCTTTCCTGTTTCATTTATATTTTGGCTCATTTCATTTCATGTCAATTCCTCCCATCTCCCAAAAACAAGCACATAAAAGGCATTCTGATTTACTCATACACTCACCATGTAATTCATTCTGTGTTTGATACCACCAAGGTGTGAAACAAATATGCGCAGGTAACCTGTGAAGTCACATAATGTGCACTCGTACATTGGGTCTCTTCCCCCATCCCGCTGGTATTCAATCACATAATTGAGACCTGAATAGACACATCACAGCAATATTTCATGAAGCATTCATAAATACGAATACCATTTCATTTCAAAGAGAAGACATATCTTACACAGCCATAGAGTCATAAAATCATACAGCACAGAAACAGACCCTTTGGTCCAACAGTACATGCTGAACATAATCCCAAACTCAACTTGTCCCACCTGCCTGCTCCTGGCCCATATCCTTCCAAACCTTTCCTATTTAGGTACTTGCCCATATGTCTTTTAAATATTGTTGCTGTGCCCATATCTACCGCTTCCTCAGGAAGTTCATTCCACATGTGAACCACCCTCTCTGTAAAATATTTGCCCATGTCTTTTTTAAATCTCTCTCCTCTCACTTTAAAAAAAATGCCTCCTAGTCTGGAAGTTCCCCATCCTTAGGAAAAGACACTTACCATTAATCCTATCAATATCCATCATGATTTTATAAACCTCTATAAGGTCAACTCTCAACCTCATACACTCCAATTCCATGTCTGGCAATATCCTGGTAAATCTTCTCTGAACCCTCCCTAGCTTGATCATTTCTGTCCTATAACCGGGCGACCAGAACTGAACACTGCACTCCAGATGAAGCCTCACAAATGCGCTGAACAACCTCAACATGACTTCCAACTCCTATACTCAAAGGACTGAGCAATGAAGACAAGTGAGCTAAATGCCTTTTTAACCACCCTGTCTATATGTGAGGCAAACTTCAAAGAATTATGTACCAGAACCCCTCTTGTTTTAGCATTGCCCCAGTGGTATTTTGATAATTAATTTCCTGCCATATATAGTTTCATATCTCTCTCCCTTTATTTAAAAAGGCTTATAGAACACCACAAGTCGCATAATCAAATCTTTCTTGCTTCTCAATTTCAACTATATGGACTCCACAGTTACCCATTTCAGGGTTAACTGGGATGACTTCATTTTTGTCAGTCAAGAAAAGTATGAGAAAATCTTCATAAAACAACCAAAAGAAAAAATGTTGCCAGCCAATTCTTCTTCCATACTCAATAACAGACCTTCTATCCATGACATTCTACTACTAGTGCCTTTAGGTGTATGACAACCTATTTAATTATTAGCATGTTGGAAATATCTGGCTAAAGGAGATCAGCAGGGAAGAAAACAAAACAGCAGAGGTGTGATATTCACACAATACCAGGCATATGTAGCGCACTACTATGTAACAATGGTTGAGGTCATGAATGACTCCTCATATGCCACCTGAATACACCAGAAGCAAAACTTAATAAATTATCTACACTCTACTAAAAGGGGCCATGACATAATGGCAATAGCAGAAACATGCCTTAAAAAGTGAGAACTATGTGCTTAACATTTGCATAATATAACATAATATGTTCAAAAACTAAGCGGGAAGGGAAAAAAATGCAAGTGGGGTGGTAATATGGATAATGGAAAACACTGCAGACCTGGAAAGACAGAATTCCTTAAGGGGGAGCTGTAGAGTCCATTTCGTTGAAATTGAGAAGCAAGAAAGGTTTGATTACCTGACTGGGGTGTTCTATTGGTCTTCAAACAGAGGGAGAGAGATTAAAACTGTAATATGGTAGGAAATTAATTATTAAGGTAACAATTAGGACAATGCTAAAACAAAAAGGGAAAAAAAATTAGAGGACGAGGCATTTCTGAAATCTGTTTAGGAGAACATCCGTGGCCAGTATTTTCCTGGTTCCACAAGGAAGGATGCATTGCTGAATAGTTTTCTTGGGAATGAGGTGAGCATTGTGAATCACGTGTTCGAGGTGGGACACTTGGGGCAACAGTGATTTTCATATTATGTAGTTTAGATTCATAACAGGGAACACCAAGAAACAATTTATGGCAGACCTTCGATTGGAATCAGATGACAGGGAATCTATGGTCTGAGGGTCATCAATCTGAAATATTGACACGGTTTCTCACTGGCAATTTTGCCTGTGTTTAAAAAAATGAACTAAGTTTGACCGAACAGGTTTAACAGAACAATGGGCGATCTTTAAGAAAACGATGTTTCTGGTACAGGTTACATATATTCACACAAGAAGGAAAAGGAGAGAAATAAAATCAGGCTCCTTACATGACAAAGGCAGGAACTATTGTGTAAACAAAAAGGTGTTCAAGTCAGATGAATTCTTCAAGCAAAATCCAGGCTAAATTTTTTTTATTCATTAATGGGATGAGGGTGTCACTGGCTAGGCTTGGCCATTGCTAATTGCCCAGATAGTAGTTAAGAGTCAACCATACTGCTGTGGGTCTGCAGTCATATGTAGGCCAGCCAGGTGAAGATGGAAGGTTTCTTCCTTAAAAGGACATTAGTGAAACTGATGGGGTTTGTCTGACAACAGCAATGGTATCATGGTTATTATTTACTCTTCAGATTTTATTGAGTTCAAATTCCGCCTCTGCTGTAGTGGGATTTGAACCTGGGTCCCTAAGAACATTATCTGGATGTCTGGATGAACAGTCCAATGATAATGCCACTAGGCCATCACCTCCCCAACACTAAGTTGAAACTTAGTTGAACACTAAAGAAAGATTGATAAACAGAGCATACAAAAAGGCTGGTTCATAAGCAGCCAGTAAGAAGTGAAGTGGATCCTATTAGATATAAAGAATAGAATTTATGCTCAGAGGCAGTTGGCAAGGGTACAGCACCTCATGAGATATTTGCATCAGTCTGTTCTCTGAAAGGGAATACTGATAAAATTTAGGTTGAAGAGGAGGTGACAGAAGGAATAGATGGTGAAAATTGATGGAATATTCAGAAAATGACAGAAAGCCATAAAAACAGAGAGGAAGGGTTTATAAAAGTATTTAAAAACGAAAATAATAACTAAATTGAATGTTTATCCTTGATAAAGAGAATCTGAGGAATTAATATTGGAAAATAAAGAAAAAAATTCAGAAGATCTGAACAGACAATGTGCATCTCGTCTTCACAGTAGAAGACAAATAACACCCCAGAAATTGTATGTGAAGATATGAAAGGCAGGAAGGAATGTAAAATAATTACAATCAATCATCGGAGAAGGATTACTGAATAAATTGTTAGAATTAAATTCTGACAGACCCCACACCCCCAGTCATATAAAAAAAGGCTGCTAAAATACGTTTTATTTTTCCAAAATCCCCTAGATTCTGGAAAGGAAAATAGTAAACATAACTTCTATATTCAGTGAAGTACCTTCCAAGCCTGCAACCGCCACCTTCTAGAAAGCCAAGAGTGGCAGATGCATGAGAATCCATGACCTGCAAGTTCCCCTCCAAGTCACATATCATCCTGACTTGGAACTGTATCACCATTTCTTGCCTGTAACTGTCAAAGTCCTGGAATTCCCTTCCTCATAATATTGCCCGTGTTCCTACACCCTAAGGGCTCCAGTGACTCATGAGAGCAGCTCAACAACACTCTACAAGGCAAGTAGGGATGGGCAATAACTGCTGACCTAATGAGTGACGCCCATATCATATATATAAAAAGAAAAACATTATTGCCTTTTGGTCATCAATCTGTGGAACGTTTTTCCCCATAGAACAGTGGAGGCAGGGTTACTGGATATTAATAAAGGCTCAGTTAAATAGGTTATTGATGAATAAAGGGATCAAAGTACAGATTGGGTGGACAAGAAAGTGAAAGTCAAAGCCACAACCAGGTCAGCCTTGATCTTATCAAATTGTGGAGCAATCTCAAAAGGCCAATCTCATACTCCTAAATTCATATATTTCTACGAGAAAGGCTGAATACGCTTAGATGGAATAAATCACCTAATAGTTCTGGGTTTCATTCCAAATCGCTGGAGGAAGTAGGATAAATATCATTGCAGGACTATTCCTAATATTATAATCTTCTGTAGAAACAAAGTAGATGCCAGAAGATTGGAGAGTTGAAAATCTGTCACCCTTATTTATAAAAGGTTGGAAGAGAACGCCTGGTAATTAAGGTCAGTCAGTTAAACATCAGAGAACGGATCAAGTTTTATAAAAAATATCAAGTAAAAAAATAACAGACACATGGGACTCAACATTCCTAGAGTCATGAAAAGACAGACAGCATTGATTTGCAATAAGCAGATCACAGTTAACTAATATAATTGAATTTTTCTAATGGAGTACCATGATTACTGTTTATATGGACTATTAGGAAGTGTTTGTCAAAGTACCACAACATGGCTGTTTCAGAAAACTGAGATTCACAGACACAGAATATCAGTTTCAGCTTTGATTACTGGACGTGAAACATTATCTCTGCTTTCTCTCCGTAGCTGCTGCCAGACCTGCTAGGCCCTCCAGCAAGATCTGTTTTTGTTTAAGATCTTCAGGGTATCTGTAGCTCTTTGTCTTATTTTAGTATTGACTGCTTGTTGGGTTTTGGGTCAGTTCCATTGGATAAAACTTGCATAACATATTTCAGAAAATCTGAATATCCTAAAGTGTTTTACAGTCAGTGATGTAGAAGTAAAATTGACAAAGGGAAACAATTATTACTGTGTTTAGCCATTTTAAATTGCAATAATACATTTTGATCATTTATTTTGCAATTCTTGGGGACAAAATACATACCAATTAAAGGCTCATCAGCATTCCAAGACAAAAGATAATCATCAAATGTTCTTGTATCAGGACCACTATTCATCGCAGGAGTTGTAGGGTTGCTTACTTTATTACCTGTCATAACATAAACTCATGACAAATCACAATTCAGCAATACATCAGGAAAACCATGACTTGTTACATGCATGCAGACATTTAACTTAATTGGTTTATCCACAGCTAATGTATCAAAAAGGGGAAGATATGGTTTCACATCATTACCAAATCGCAGAACATGTCTTTATATGAACGATTACCCGGGCATGTCACACTTTGAAGTGCACCATTAAGTGGTGCTCACACTCAGGCATATGTTTACCCAGCCATTACTAATTAATAAGCTGTGTCTCATCAACAACTTCAATAAAATGGACTGCATATTATGCTCTAACAACAGAAATATACTCACCCAAAGTCTCTTTTAAAATTTGTTCAACCTGTCATGTCGTGCCAAGAATGACCCAGCAGCAAGAAGAGAAAATAACTGTCAGTTTCCTTCATTTTCGAAGTAAATTCAAACATATACATCGTAACTTACTTAAATTGCAGAATGAATGAATGACTGGAGATAACGCAAAACAGACCCAATTCAGAAGAACACGAGTCATTAATTTGTTCTTAGGAGTGGAGATGATTGGAGAAATGTGACGGTACAACTCATGTTCTCCCTATTTCCTTATTTTCCCTCAATAATCTTCTGTTCCTGAATAAAAACATGCCTCTCCGAACTCCAAGCTTCCTCTCAATGTCCAATTTCCAATGTCTATTGTGAGCAGATTTTCCCTACCATTCAAAATTGCCTTCACCCAACTCCAAATGAAACTTAGTTTGACCTTTTCATCTTCCTCAATCATTAATCTTTGACCTCCAAATGTTCCCAAATGTCAAAATCATCCAACACATTTATGCTTCCAAAACTCTGCATTTAAATCTTATCAATCTGATTTCCATACATTCCCCAGCACTGATTGTGCAGGTCAAAATCAAGAACATTGTCATTATATAAAGGAACAATAGTACAACTTGCCTCTTTCAATATTGACAACTTTTTCATTGTGTCTCTTTGAATAGAAGAAATAGGAGGTGACTATTTATCCATTTGATCTTGTTTTCATCTACAATTTAACTAGGTTTTCCCTTTTATTCATCTGATGTGGAGGCCAGCATATATTGACCATCCTTAATTGCACTACAGAAGGTGGTGCTGAGTAACCTTCTTGAAGCGCAGCCCTAGAAATGCAGGAACATCCACTGTACTATCAATTTTGACTCAGTCAGTGAAGGAATGGTAGTATGGTTCCAAGTCAGGATGATGTGTGGCTTGAAGGGATCTTATGGGTGGAGTGTTCCAATGCATCTACTGCCCTTATCCTTCCAGATGGTAGATGTTGCTGATTTGGAAGGTGCCATCAGAGGACCCTGGTGAGTTATTGCAATGCAACTCGTAAAGAATACAGGCTGCTGTTGGCAGTGAGGGATGCCACTTTTGGAATACTGTGTCCAGTTCTGGTTGCCCTGATATAGGAAGGATATTACTAAATTGGAGAGGGTGCAGAAAAGATTTACAAAGATGTAACCGAGCTGCGAGGGCTTGAGTTATAAGGAGACACTGGATAAACTGGGACTTTCTCCACTGGAGTGTAGGAAGTTGAGGGGTAACCTTATAGAAGTTTATAAAATCGTGAGTGGCATAGATAAGGTGAATAGCAAGGGTCTTTTCCCTAGGGTAGGGGAGTTCAAAACTACAGGGCATAATTTTAAGATGAGGGGAGAAAGATTTAAAAAGGACATGAGGGGCAACCTTTTCACACAAAGGGTGGTTTGTATATGGAACGAACTGCCAAAGGCAGTGGTAGGTGCAAGTACAGTTACAACATTTAAAAGACATCTGGACAGGTATATGAATAGGAACGTTTAGAAGGATATGGGAGTAGTTTAGTTTGGGAAACTTGGTTGGACGAATTGGACTGAAGGGTCTGTTTCCATGCTGTACGAATGTTCAAGATAGTGAATGTGGTACAAGTCAAGTAGGCTGCTTTTTCCTGAATGGTGTCAAGCTTCTTGAATGTTGTCGGAACTGTACTCACTCAGGGAAGAAGAGAACATTCTATCACTTTCTCGACTTCTACCTTGTAGATAGTGGACAGGTTTTGGGGAGTCATGAGATGAATTATGTGATGCAGATTTCCAAGCCTCTGACCTGCTCTTGTCATCACAGTATTTATAATAGCAAATCCTAAGTTCAGTTTCTGGTCAAAGGTAAGCTCCCAGGATGTTGACCATGGGGGATTCAGCAATGGCAATGCCACTGAAAAGAAAACATAGAAAGTAGGAGCAGGAGTACGCCTTTCTGTCATTCAAGCCTGCTCCGCCATTCAATATGATCATCCAGCTCAGTCCCATGTTCCAGTTAGTCCCCATACCCTTCAATCCCTTTAGGCTTAAGAACTATATCTAACTTCTTCTTTAAAACATTCAATGTTTTAGCCTCAACCGCTTTCTGTAACACAGAATTCCACAGGCTCACCACTCTCTGGGTGAAGAAATTTCTCCTCGTCTCAGTCCTAAATAGACCTTAGACTGTGTGACCTCTGGTTCTGGACATCCTGGTCATCAAAAACATCCTTCCTGCATTTACCATCTGGTCCTATGAGAATGTTAAGGGGTAACAGTTAGATTCTCTTTAGTTGGAGATGGTCATTGCCTGAAAACTCCTTGCCACTTATCCGCTCAAGCCTGAATATTGCTGATGTCTTGCAACTTGTGAGCATGGACTGCTTAAGTATTGGAGCTGCTGCAAATGGTGAACATCGTACAGGCATGATCATGTCCGTATGATGGATATAACAGATGAAGCAGTATTCGGAGAAAGAGTCATCAGACCCAATATGTTAACTCTGATTTCTCGTCACAGATGCTGCCAGACCTGCCGAGCTTTTCCAGCAACTTCAGTTTTTTTTCTGATTTACAGCATCCACAGTTCTTCCAGTGATTTTTTAAGCAATTTAAAATGGTTGGGGATAGGACACTATCCTGAGGAATTCCTGCACTGATGTTCTGGGGCCAAGATGATTGACCTCCAACAACAACAAGCATCTTCTTTTATGACTAACCAGTGGAGTACTTACCTTCCGATTCCCATCAACTCCAGGTTTGCTAATGCTCCTCCATGCCAAATTTGATCAAATGCTGCATTGATGTCAAGGAAAGTCATTCCCTGGAGTTCAGCTATTTTATTGCTGTTTGGATCAAGGCTGTAACAAGGTCAGGAGCTGAGTGCCACATTCCAGGTCACAGCCCATCTGCATTTTAAGTCCTCTTATCTACCTAAATTTTTTAACCTTTAATAAACATGCTCAACAAATGCCAGAATATATCAAAGCTGAGATAAATGAATGGTCCAGTTCCAAGAGTTTTTTTTGAGTAAAAATATTCCAGATTTAAGATTTTTTTCTGGAAGTGCTTCCACCATCATTCATGAGCAGTCAAGTCCTAATTCTCAAGTTGTGTTCTCTCGTTCGGGACACTCCACCAGAAACAGTTTCACATTATGTACCTAATTAACACATTTAACCATCTTCAATTTTCAAAACTCGAGAACAACATCAAGTCAGTACAAGTTCAACATTGGGGCTCTTATGGTGCATTGCCCCAATCTCCAAGATAGAAGGCCCTGGCTCAAGTCCCACCTGCTCCAGAGGTGTGTAATAATATCTCAGAACAGGTCTATTAGAAAATATTAGAAGTTCCGTATTTAACCATTTGAACACGTCCAGCAAAGGACGCTGAGAAACTCTGTTGAACATTTTGGGAGAAATCAGCACAGTCACTATGACCATTCAATGGTGTAAGGAAGAACCGCCACCCACACCCCCCACCCCCCCCCCTCCCCCCCCCCCCCCCCCTCCCAGTGATAAGCAGCACGAAGAGCATCCAACAGAGACACTGGCAGACTTTGCTGAGCATTCTGGGAGAAGTTGGCCCAATCACCGCAAATGTTCAGCGAAGTGAGGAAGAACTCAGTGTCAAGAAATCTTAGGCCCCAAACATTACATTACTGTAGTGTTTCCATCCTTCCTTCCTTGTTGAACCAAAAAAAGGAGAGACATTAAGAGAAGGTGTTAGGAAGTTTGTTGTAGCCGAGGGGGTATTTGGTCTTCTCGTAAAGATTGCACCGTAATTTAAGGAATCAGTCAGTGCAGCTAGTTGGTATAAGGGCGGGCTTAGGTGAATACTGGTCTTTAGTGAGTAAGACGAGCAAGGTAAAGGCATGGTAAGATTCTTTTATCTTTCTTATTGTAAAGGGGCATAGACAGCAGTTAGGGCAGTGGTGTACTCTTGCTGCCAGATGTGGAAGATCAGGCAGCAGTCCAGCGTCCCTAACAACTATGCAGAAAATGTGACCAACTGCAGCTCCTCATAGACCATGTTACTTGGTCGGAGCAGCAGTTGGACACACTGAGGGGCATACAGTGTGATAGACACACCAGACGTGGTCACATCAGAGATTTAGTCAGGTAGATGGGTGACCGCCAGGAGAGGCAGTCAGGTAGTGCAGGAGTCTCTGTGGCTATCTCCTCTCTAACAGGTATGCCATTTTGGATACTGCTGCGGGGGGAAACAGCCTCTCAGGGGCGGATAAAAGCAGCAGCCAGGGCTGTAGCACCACAGCTGCCTCTGCTGTACAGCAGGGTCAGGCAAGATCCAAGTGAGCAATAGTGGTAGGAAACTCCCTAGCTAGGGGCACAGATTGACATTTCTGTGGCTACATCTGAGACTCCAGAATGGTGTGTTGCCTCCTTGGTGCCAGGGTCAAGGACATCTCTGAGTGGTTGCACGAAATTCTTAAGGGGGAGGGTTAGCAGCCAGTGGTTGTGATGTATATTGGTACCAATGACAAGGTAGAAAGAGGAATGAGGTCCTGCGGAGTGAGTACAGAGAGTTAGGTAATAAACTGAACAGCATGAGTGTAGTAATCTCTGGAGTATTATAGGTAAGGAAGATGAGCTTAGAGCCTGAATCAGTACATGGGACTACGACATTGTGGCCATTCCAGAGACTTGGTTGAGAGTGGGACAGGACTGGCTGCTCAATGTTCCAGGGTTTTGTTGTCTTAGAAGAGATAAAGAGGAAGGTAAAAGAGGTGGAGGAGTTGCATTACTAATCAGGGAGAATGTTACATCTGTACTCAAAGAGGGCACGCTGGAGAGCTCATCCACTAGGTAATATGGGTAGAGCTCAAAAATAAGATGGGTGCAATCACTCTGCTGGAATTATACTATAGGCCTCCCAACAGCCACCAAGACATTGAGGAACAAATGTGTATGCAGATTATGGAAAGATGCAATAAAAACAGAATTGTCATAGTGGGTGACTTTAACTTCCCCAATATTGACTGGGACTTCCTTCGAGCAAGAGGCTTAGACGGAGTGGAATT